GTGTGTGTGTGTGTGTGTGTGTGTGTGTGTGTGTGTGTGTGTGTGTGTGTGTACATGCATGCATGCATGCTTGTGTCTAAATGCTGTACATAATCCCTAATCTACCATCTCCAAGTGTCCATAGGACTCCTTTTTATCCATAGAGTATTTTCTCTCTTGAGCTTTCCTTCAATGTCATCCTTTTATCTTTTGAAAGTGAAATTTGCCGAGATTTTTGTTGTTTGCTCTTTCACAATATGTTATCGTGTTAACAATCATTGTGGTAGGCAACATTTATGACTGAGAAGCTGCTTTTGTTTTTCTGTGTGTGTATTCTGGCATGATGAAAAATATTTTTAAGGTTTCACGTCAAGGCCGTGTTATAAACTTTTTATTTCTATACTTATTATTTTGTATTAATTCTGAACTGCTTTAAAAAATGTAAACCAGGGTTAAAATTCAGACAAATCACACACAATGTTGTGCTGATAATCTAGTAAAAATGGGATCAAATAAAAATAAATACAACATTTTCCATTCAGTAATATGATTGAAAGCAAAGAATGGCTTCTATTTTGAATTCCCTTTAGTGAAGGAAATGTACATGCTGTCATAGAATAGAGCACAATAATATGTGATACAATTTTACACAAATTTGTATTGCATTTGAACCTATGATTTGAACAGAGATTAAGATAGGTGTGTGTGTGTGTGTGTGTGTGTGTACGGTGTGTGTACGGTGTGTGTACGGTGTGTTTACGGTGTGTGTAAGGTTTGTACGGTGTGTGTACGGTGTGTGTACGGTGTGTACGGTGGGTGGCATAGTGGTTATAATATCCTATTTGGGGCAGCAGCAGCTAGCTCTAGTGTTCAGGGATGGGAGGAACAACGGTTTACGTGTCTGTATGGGCTACATATGCCTACACACGGGCGAGGCAGGGATGACAGGGACCACTCCAAGGGCTGCAAAATTAAACTGAGCTGCACCCCAGCCCCCCCATAAGCCCACCCCTCTCCTGGACCCTGGAGGCCAGCATTCCACCCTCCGCACTGGCGCTTATCATCACAAAGGACAGAATGCATAAAACATGGAGGACGCTTAGACAGAGGCGGCCCAGGTCGCCTTTCTCTCCCCACACTGAGCCCTGGAACAATACATGGGCCCCTCTGGCCTGTGACTCTGACGACACACACGCCGTCTTTTTATCCTCCCCTATTTCTTTGTCATCCTCTTCCTCTTCCTCTATGTTACTGTGCTCCGTGGAGTGATAACTGCCCTCGCATTGTTTATCTGTGTCTGTGAAATCTGCATTGTGTAGATGAAATGTAAGTCGGTGCG